CTACTGCAGGGGTCCTCAAACTACGGCCCGCGGGCCACATGCAAATACAAATATTGTATTTGTTCCCGTTTTGTTTTTTTACTTCAAAATACGGTATGTGCAGTGTGCATAGGAATTTGTTCATAGAGGTTTTTTTTAAAACTATAGTCCAGCCCTCCAACGGTCTGAGGGACAGTGAACTGGCCCCCTGTTTATAAAGTTTGAGGACCCCTGCTCTATTGCATGCACCTACCCCCTACCCTTGGTTAATAAGCAAATACCCTTGGAATGGGGTTACATTTTAGAGTTCTATCTAGTGTTAATAGTCTGGTACTTGGTGAAGTAAGGACCCGAGCAGGATGGAAGAAGAAACGGAACTCCAAGGAAAAGGGTACAAAGTATAATAATATAATGGAAATGGCATGGAATTGGGAATCAAAAGTCCTGGTTCAGCTGTATCACTTGCTTCTGCGATACATTAAAAGCTAACTTAGAAGTCTTTCCCACCCTGGTAAACACGCACACATGTAAATACTCATCCATCCATCTGTTTTTGTTTCTAAGGGTGATGGACAATATCACCTTTCGTTCAATCACTCAGCAAGCATTTATTGAGTACCTGCTCAGTGCCAAACACTGTACTAGGTACTAGAAAAATAATGAGTAGAACAAGCAAGAATTTTATAGAGACAGAATATTGAGCAGGGAGAAGAATGGGCAGGATTTAATGTGTTAGAAGATGACACATGATAAAGACTCAAGTTTTAAGGAATTACTCTAGGTTAGGCTTGAGAGACTAGAATTTCATGGTGCCATTCCCTGAAATAGTGACTATAGGAGGAAGTGCAGTGTATGTGGGTTCTATGTTTGCAAGCAACAGACACAATTAAGCAATAAAGGATATGTAAAAGGATATTAGGCAGCTCATAGAACTGAAAAAACAAACAAGCTGCAGAAGGCAAGAACCAGCCCACAGATATCTGTAGCAGGAATGTGTGGATTGTCCCTCTAGGCCAGTGGTTCTCAACCTTCTGGCCCTTTAAATACAGTTCCTCATGTTGTGACCCAACCATAAAATTATTTTCGTTGCTACTTCATAACTATAATGTTGCTACTGATATGAATCGTACTGTAAATATCTGATATGCAGGATGGTCTTAGGCAACCCCTGTGAAAGGGTCATTCGACCGCCAAAGGGGTCACGACCCACAGGTTGAGAACCGCTGCTCTAGGCAGTTGTCATTGGAGGACAGCTTCAGCCACCTTCTGCCACTGTGTCCTTTCCAGATCCAGATTCCCTGGAGAAAGACCCTGACGGGCCCAGTTTGGGGGGAGGCATGTTAGTGTCTACAATGACAGGAAGAAGACCAGTGGTGGGGATGGTAGTAAGGAGGATGGATTACAAAGAAGTACAAGGAGCCTGGCCAGTTGTGCTCAATGGTTGAGCATTGACCTATGAACCAGGAGGTCACAGTTTGATTCCTGGTCAGGGTATATACCCAGATTGTGGGCTCCATCCCAAGTGGAGGGTGTGCAGGAGGCAGCCAATCAATAATTCTCATCATTGATGTTTCTGTCTCTCTCTCCCTCTCCCTTCGTCTCTCTGAAATCAATGAAAACATATTTATAACCAAAAAAAGTACAAGGAAACTTCTGGGGTGATAAAAATGTTCTTAATTTTTATTGTGGTCATAGTTTATTACATGTATACATGTGTCAAAACTGATCAAATTGTATGCTTTATGTGCAGATTTTTGGGAATTTCATACAAATATTTGAGAACTTGCAGGACTTTCCAGTAGCTATTTCCATTAGGGAACTGGAAATACATGTTTATATTTATTCTTTTTAAATATATACTTACGGATTTTAGAGAGAGGGGGAGAGGGATAGATAGAAACATCAATGAGAGAGACACATTGATCAGCTGCCTCCTGCATACCCCCCACCGGGAATCGAGCCCAAAACCCGGGCATGTGCCCTGACTGGGAATCGAACCAGGAACCTCTTGGTTCATGGGTTGATGCTCAACCACTGAGCCACACCAGCCAGGCTACATATTTGTATTTAGAAGTCATTTTTCCAAGATTGAATCCTGCTATTCTTTTATTTAAAAACCTTCAGAGAATCTCTTCTGTTGTAATGGAGAGAAGGTTGCATGCCCCCCTCTAAAAGGCCTACTGCCTGTATTTTAATACCTCTCCTAGAAGGCACCCCAGTCCTTTAGCACTCAGAATCACTGCTGGGAGTGATACTCCAGGGGTATTATTAGAAGGGTGGGGAAACTGCTGGGAATACAGGCCCCTAGCTGTCCAAGGCGTTCTTTGAGCTGCTTGGAATGCCCCACCCATTCACCTGGCAAAACCCAGTTCAGGCCTTTTCTCTGCAGGGCTTTCACTGACCCTCTTCCCCTAGGAAATTGATTCTCTTTGTGAAATGAACGCTTTGTTTGTATATCGCACTACTGGAGGGTCCAGAAAGGCAGGAGAAAGGACCAGTAGGTTGGACATGAGTGATAATTTTGCTTATCTAGGATAGCTATTCCCAGGTAAGAACCAAACTGTTTATTGAGATATACAAAATGGTAAAGTTGTCCAGGGGGAAAAGGTCAGGACTCAGAAGACTCATCTTGGCAGCAACATAAAGGGCTGAAATCCAGTAAAATTGGGCAGAGATGAATATCTCTTATCCCCTGTCCTGAGGCCCTTGGAGATCTGTTGACAAAAGGATGGCTGCTCTAGTTTCTGAGGCTCAGCATTTAGTCCTCGGAGAACACTGGCAGGTCACCACAGGAGGCTTCATTCGTCATCTGTATGCATCTCTGTGTAGAATTAATTGCAAGAACATCACCCAGTCCCTGCTTTCTATCAATTTGAAGGACAATATTGACAGACTAGGTAATATGTCCAGAGTACACTAGAAATATCCAGGTCATCTAGGGTATAGCAAAGAGCAGAGTATACACACCGCTAAATTGGTGCTGAGCGTGTACATACTGGGTCCTCTTTCTACATGTTTACGCTTTTAAAATGAATGGTATGTGCCTACAGGGATCAAATCCACATATCAGCAAAACTTTTAAGGTTACATTTTACAGAGAAAAAAGATGCTTGTGAGAGACTATTAACCTTTAAATTATGAAAGTAACAGTGCAGATCAGTAGTCAGTCAGTTCAGTTGGATGGCCTCTGAGAGTCTGTGGTTCTAACAATTTTCAATACATAATGGAATATATGCTGAGAGAGACCAACCAAGAAAGAAGAAAAATTTCAACCTTACCTGGAATTCATGGTCAGCTTGTCAGTAAATGCAAGCAGTTGTCCACCTTTGGAGTTTAACCCTTAGGATCTGAATTTCCTTTTCTCTTGAGTATTCTCTTATGTGAGGACTGGTGCAACTGACCTTTTACTAACTTAGATGTGTCTTGCCTGTGTGTTACTTTCTTGGTTGGAGTAGTTTTCCCACACCTGGGCTTTCTTCTTCACTGATCACTGCTATGCCTTTAAAGATATATTTAAATAAAATGAACTTTATTAACTTACTCTGTTTTATCCTGTTTTTACCAACCAAATAACATCTTTAGAAATGAAAGCAACTACCCTTGCTTATTTCATGTCTTTGCTTTTTTTTTCTCACACTGTGCCTTTATTCTCTGAGACTTTATCTTTCAGTTTTTGTCTCCCAAATAAACTTGCATAATCCCTGTCTCTCTATCGATCTATATAAATATTGGTTCCCAAACCTAGAGAACGCTTTACAAGAATAAGAAGCACAGAAGTCTGTATCACTGGGATGGAAGGCAGAATAACCACAAGAGTTCTTACCCCCAGTAGGAAGCCAGGATAACAGTAGCCATTTATTGAGCACTTACTAGATGCCAGGTAAGGTTCCAGTGCTTCAGGTCAGTGATTTCCAACCGGTGTGCCGCAAGAATTTTTAAAACATGCAATACCTGGCTATGTAGGTTGTCAAATTTTTAAAATGACAACAGCGAACACAATAGCCGTCCAGTGTGACTGAATCAAAATTATACCTATTTTTGTCAGATCGGCGGTTGTCAAATTTTTAAAATGACAACAGAGAACACAATAGCCGTCCAGTGTGACTGAATCAAAATTATACCTATTTTTGTCAGATCGGCAAAAAATATTTTTATGTGCCCTAGAATTTTAGTAATTAGTTTGTGTGCCATGAGATGTAGTAACCCATTCCATCCTCACAGTTACTATGAGACAAGGATTGCCCCCACAACAGAAATGAAACAAGTAATTTACCCAAGATCTCGCGGCAGAGCAGATTTCAGAGCCTGTGTGTACACCAGCCCATCCTTAGTCACTTGAGTTCATCGTTAATTGGGCAACTTTCCTGCCACAAAGAGGTGAGTCAAGAGGTGGCTGCAGTACGGCCTTGATTAAATCCTGCCGTGTGCAGACCATGTCTGCGAAATGAAACGGCTTCTCGGGGCACGGCCAGCTTCGGCCCCCTTCCAGGGGTAGGGAACAGACTTTAGAGATGTTAAGTTATTTGCCCAAAGTCAACAACCAACAGCGGCCGAGCGGAGACGGTGTGAGTCCAAAGGCCATGCCGCTCCCCAACCCCAGACGGATGTCCACAAAGAAGACCCGTCCGTCCAGGCGGCGTCCCTCTCCCCGCCGCCGCCCGCACGCGGGAAGCTACCTTGCGCTCCGCTTCTGCACAGACCTATTTGCCTAAGTGATAAGGAAACGCAAGTCACTGTGATTCCCCGCATTCACTGAAAACTCAAATAAAGCCGGTCGGAAGGAAAGCGAGCGGGTCCCAGAGAGCCCGGGTTCCGCTCCCACGGCCCCCGCCCCCAGCCTCGGGCGAGGGAGGAAGCGCTCCGGATGGACGGCACCGCGACCAAGGAAACGCAAGTCACTGTGATTCCCCACATTCACTGAAAACTCAAATAAAGCCGGTCGCGAGGAAAGCGAGCGGGTCCCAGAGAGCCCGGGTTCCGCTCCCACGGCCCCCGCCCCCAGCCTCGGGCGAGGGAGGAAGCGCTCCGGATGGACGGCACCGCGACCGGCGGAG